TTCCCTTATACAAAAGTTCACTCCATGCTTTCCAGTTTTAACAGTGAACAAACAAGGTTGTAAAGCCCATGATCTCTTTCAGTATTTCTCTCTTGTGGATTCTAAACTTGTTCCAAAATTTAAGCAGATCCTCATAACCCACTTTAGGTTTTTCAATGTTTTTTTGCACACTAAACTGCTCTCAGAAACCCCCTCTCCCCTATGCAGGTCGTTATAAAATATCATTAGGTCACCTGCACAGAGTAAACAGGGAAAAATTCCTCTACACATGATTGTGAAATAGGCTTTTCAGCCTTTGAATGTTTTCATACCTCCTAACTTCTGCACACCTCCTAACTTTTCCACTCCCACACCAATCTTTCCAAATAGTGAACTGGGCAGAAATGTTCAGTGGCACTGGCCATTCAGGAGAACCTCCCCCCTTCCCCAACCACTGTCCCACAAAACACAGATGCATTTTGACCCAGGAGATCAGCCAGGCCCCTGCCAGCTCCAGCAGCACAACCTGCAGCCCAGAGCACAGCCTCGGGGACAGGTCTGACCTGCCATGCTTCCCCTTGCTTCCCACCTGCCTTCAGGAATGCTTTTCCACCACAAGGACCTCACAGGAGGGCTTTGCCAGCAGAATCTGAGATAGCCCAAGACTGAACTTCATCCTTTGCATTTTCCAGGACTTTAAATGTTGTTTCCAAAGCCTGGCTCCCACTGACCTGCAGCACTACCTCCTTTTTCTTTGCAGCCATCCTTCTGCAGGAACAGGGCTCCCTCCAGCAGCAGTCCCAAGTGTGAGGCACTGCAGATGTCCTCCAGCTATGTGAATCCAACTGCTGCCCAACCTGCACCACAGAGAAAGCTTTTCACCTCTCCTGGTTCCTCCACGCGGGACTTGCCACCTCCACCAGCATCCCCGCCCTGCTGGAGGGATCAGGATTAGCTCCGTGGGGCTCTGGGCTCTGCCTGCACCCTTCCCAGAGAGGCAAGGGGCTGCTGCAGGGCCTGGATTGCTGGCAGCAACCTGGAAGGGTGGCAGAGGCACCAGCTCCCAGGCTGAGAGCGTCGCTGGTAGCTGCGGCGCTGCCATGGCAGCCCAGCCCTGCCCAGGACACTGTACTGCCAAGTTCCCTCCCTCTGCTCTGCAGTTCCCACCAGCAGCTGCAGCTCCTCTGCCTCCTCCCTGCCCCTAGAACCTGCCCAGCTGCCCCAGCCCACCACACGGACCTCCTCCTCCAAGTTCTCCCCTGCTCCTCCCGGACTAGTGGCCCCACAGCAGGCGTGGGCTGCAGGGACAAGCCCCCCAGCCCTGCTCCCAGGGTCACCCTGTCCATGCCCAGGGCCACAGGGTGCAGACCTTAGAGGTGCTTCTTGTCACACAGCACATGACATCTGGTGGCTGGTCCTTCAGATGGTCAGGGCCCCTCCTGGTTGAGGATTCAGCTTTTGGCACATCAACTGCCCTCATGGCCTGGGAAGCCAAGGGGACACTGTCCAGTGCCCACAGGTGACACGGTGGGGCTGAGCCTTGGCAAGAGCTCCCCTGCCTCCAGCATCAGCTCAGCAGAGCAAACCACACCTTGGGATGCCACCAACAACTCTCCCCTTTTTTTTTTTTTTTTTTTAGAAATAAACCTCCAGCAGAATCCTAGTGATTTTCACAACTGAAATTGTATGTTTACACCTCTCATGCACTTACATTTCAGGGTTACAAAAACCTGTCCTGCTAAACCCATTTTAGAGTCTTCAAGAATCTGATCTCATGCACCTCAATGATTCTTCTGCTTGCTGTGCCACTGCTTCTCTGCTTTCATGAAGGAGCAGCATCTACTGCAATGACTAAAGTCTGTGAAAATAAATTAAAAAAAATAAGAATATCTGGGCACAAGAGGCTCTCAAGCAGGTCACTTGGTGTCCTTCACTATTACCACACAACTCTGTGACTGGAAGAACAACCAAATTGTCTTATTTGACTTCCTGTGTGGAGAGACTCCACTCCAAACGTGGGCTGGAGGGGTGAGGAGCACCCAAGTGCAGCAGTTATCTGACAACTTGCATGCCAAGCCCCATGCAGAACTGTGCACTTCTTGACACATCAGCTTTGAGAGGACACCACCACTGGACCCAGACACAAAGAGTGGACATATCAAAATCCATGAGGACTGGTTTTCAGAAGAGAAATGGCACCAAAACAGCAGAAATCCTGGTGATTTCTGTAAGATTCAGACCACCTCCAAACTTGCTTCATCTCTGCAAGCAACCCTGTAACTCACAAGAAGCTGCTACCTAAATAAAATTGCTAAAGATCTGGGCAACCAACCAACCAGTCTGTTCCCACCGTGAACCTCAGGCGAGTGACTCTCAGGCTGCAGAGAAGCTGGCACAGCAAGCTGAGAAAAACCTATATGTTCTGGTAAAGTTATTTTTATTAACAGTATTCTTCTTTTTTGTACATACCTATAGCAACATCAAAAAATATTCACAAAGCTTAACTGAATGTAAAAATGTTCTCATCCATCAGGTTGTCCTACCAAGAGCTGTGGGAAGCGTCAGCTGTCCTCATGCAGCAACAAGATTGTCTGAGCACTGGGGTTGTTTTTCTGGCAGAATTTCAGGAAACCACCTCAGAACACACAGATACTTACTGACCTTTTTTTCTGAACACCTTCAGGCACCAACGGTTTATAGGTTCAATAGATTTGCTTTAGAAACATGAACTGGGGGAGGATGAGAAGAGATATGTAAGAACTTGAGCTCCTAAATGTCCATAGCAGGAGTGCAAATGTAGAAGTGCACACTGTACAGTTTTGCACTGACAATACCTGCCTCAGAACTTTTCCTTAGGTCAAGCAAAAATACATTTGATTTAATTTTGTAAATAAGACTTCACTTCTGAGGCACTTAGATGTATCAAGTTCTCACATATTTTTACTTTCCCTTTTGTTCAGCCCCCAAAGTCCATAATGAAAAACTTGCAGAGGGACATTAAGAACTGCCAGTCACTTGCTGCAATGCCTGGGGAAAAAGTGTCAGGTGCTCACTTTTATTTGTCTTTTAGGAGTGGAAGAAGTTACATGAAATGTGTATATTCTCCTTTGCAACCAAGTGATAATAGTTATCTGATACATAACACATTCAAATCCCAGGCCAAACTGTGCTCACATTTTCTGATGGAAGTAGTTACCTGGGAGAAAAGTAAGGCTCTCACAATTTGACCTTCTGATTAAAAAGACAAGATTAAGATACTTATCAAAATTGGTTAGCAAAGTTACAGACCTCTCTTCTTGCTGCAGCCTTCCTGAAGTCCAGTGTAACAAAAGACAGATTTGGTTTAAGACATTGGCTGCAACCTTTAGTGTGCCTGTTAGAGCTGTGTAGGTTGAGTGGAGAGTCTATTCATCTGTGGGCTGAGCTGAAACCAAAAAGGACACATGGGAAGAAAGCCAAGCACCCTGACCCTCTAAAGGAGAGAGCTCGTTCCTGCTCTCATGACTGTGAAGCTCCTGGGGTCTCACATTGCAACTTGTCAGAGTCATCTTCATCTCTACTCGTATTTTTCTCTCCGCACTTACAGGCACAATTTCAGGAACTTATGGACAATCTAAGCTTCTGCACGCAGTAAAATTCCACCTCTTATTATCCAGGTATCCAAATCCATGCAAGTGTGTATATCTGCATATATACACAAAACCTCTAGCAACGTTACTCAACTTGAAAAAACAAACAACCCAAATGCCCAGTTTTTCCATCCCTTCCGCGACTTGATGCATCCAGCTGATCTTTCATGGAAAACATTTGTAAGTCGCTTAACCCCATCTGGAGATAAAAACAACAGAACAAAAAAACAGAACAAAAAGCCATCCCTTCATCCCTGCTTGCCAGTGTAACTTCTGCAACACAAGGTTTGCTCTGTTGATATAGGTGATCAGCAAATCCTTCTCACCAGTGAAAAGCCAAACCTTCAGCAATTATCTGGGCAAGTTCTTGGCTACTAAAGCAACAGCTTATGCTTGCTGATGTTGAGCCACCTGCTCCTTTCTGGAAAAGTCAACAGCTATCCTAGCTCTGAAGCTTTTCTTCTAAAAATGGGAAGAAACCCAGAAGAATCCAACTGACCCAGTTCATGGATTTGAGCATGTCATCAGTACCAGGTGACCTTGTACAGTGGTAAAAATCTCTCTTGGACCTTGTCAGTACAGAATATGCTGCTTATCATTTGGAGTCTGCTGTCTCCCTCTATTTTTCTCTTTAAAAATGAAGTATAATGTAAGTTAAGCTGAAGTTCAGAAATGCATATATTTTACTTAAAAACATTCATCTGTTCAAAATTCAAAATAAACTTTATGGGATACAACAGTTCGTTGTTTTTTTTTTAAATAACATTTCATTCAAACTGTATATAATTAATTGAAGTATTCGTACAGCAAACAATGGTTAATCCTTGAAAACCTGTAGAAAAAGATTTTCACACACACACACACAAAAAAAAGGAGAAACAAAATTGAGGTGTCACACTCACACACATTCACCCAAGCGCACACACACGTCCACACACACAGGCTGCAGCAAAAGCAGAACATTGTAGGCCCAAAAGGAAAATGATGACTGATTGTTCTATCCAAAAGTCCAGGTAGCTCAGGAAAAAAACCAAAACAACCAACCCAAAAAACCAAAACAACCCCCCAAGAGTCCTCTGAGTAAAGAAACTACCTCAAGAAAATTCTCAAGTGCACTGGAGACCTGATCATTTAAACTGTTTCTGCAAAGCAGCTCCCTGCACCTGAGAAAAATGCAGCCCAAGGTGACTTGTGCAAATATAAGGAGTCAGGAGTATCTCCTGCTGTTCCTTAAGTAGACATGAGGGGTGTCCATAGATTCATTCAGTCTTTGATCATGCAAGATACTGCTGGAGTGCTGTCTTCGCCCTGCAATCAAGGAACAGCCTGGTCATTACTGAGGTTTTCAACAGCTTCACATACAAGACAATGTCACAGAATCACAGAATTGTCCTGGTTGGAAAAGACCTGAGAAAACCAAGCCCAACCACCACCACAAAATACCCCAACAACCCAAAAAACCCACAAAAAAACACCAAAAAACACCCCATGCCCACTGGAGCATGTCCTGAAGGGCCAGATCTACATGATTCTTGAATCCCTCCAGGGATGGTGACTCCCTGGGCAGCCTGTCCTAGTGCCTGACCACTCTTCCAGTAAAGAAACTCTTCCTACTATGTGTATGTCTAAAGAACACGGAAATATCTTTCACAAAATCAAGAAACCCAAATTTAATGCATTTTCAAACACTGCACAGTTTGAGCTCTTCCAAAAATCAAATCTTCTCCTACAGTTCATGAAAGTTCACAACGTTAGGTGCAAAGGTTTGACCAATAAAACACGAACTGCAATTAGCTATTTTGGTGACATGTTTGTGATGACCTGGGTACATTCTGTGATACAAATGTAAAAACTTACTGTGGAGCTTAATTAATTTAAAGGAATTTGAGATGAACTACACTGGTGTTCCTGTATTATCTTTCTAATTCACAGTGTTATCTGATGGTTTCTCAGTGTTCCAAGTCCTCTGGAACATCATTAGTGGTCCAGAGTTCACACCAATATCTCACTGATTGATACTCAGATTTCAGAGAGGACCCTCCACTGGTTTAGAAGATCTTTAGTGCAGTTATTTCATCATTCAGTAAAATTTGTTTCTCCTGAGCAATATAAAACCTGCTCTTTAAAGAAGTGTTCATCACAATTTATACCTGATAAAACTCAGTGTAGTGATAGCTTTTCTAAGCAGTTCTCCTATCATCAAAAGATTTAAAAAAAAAATACACTTAAAATAAAAAGCAAATATTTCCTTCTCATCTTTCCTGGATTTCCCTTGATACTCACTTGTCACACAGATTGGGATCTGATGACTGACTCAATTTATGTAGAATATCCACTATTCCCATATCTCGTAGTTTATCCTGGCGTTCCTGGGAACCTGCAACAATAACCACATTCTTGGGAATGTCACCAAAAATAAATGCCTTCAGACAGAGGAAAGGAACAGCAGTGGAAACCAGCTTAATGGAGGCAGGCAGGTCAGTTAGAAGACAGCAAGGAGAAAACTTTTGTGCTCTGTGTGCATTTGCTTAAAGAGAATAAAGTTTGGAAGGCAATAAACTATATATTTTATCCTAAAGTAAGAAGCCTGATTTCAGCTGCTTTATTCTCCTCTCACTGATTTGGATGCAGATGACACTCAGCTGGAGGTGTGGTTTGGGGTTTGCAGCACCCTGTAAGGCCAGTGTCACCAGCAGAAGGCCACCAGGAGCACAGCCAGGTGGTGCCACCCACTGAGTGAAGCTCTGTGATCCCACAGATGTGGAGTAACTTACACAGTGGAGGAAAAAGAAAAAGCCCCAAACCAAGTAGAGACAATGATTTATTTGCTGAAAAGCAGCCTGGTCAACTTGAGGGTCTGTAATCCAGCCATCTGAAAGTCCTCCTCCCAATCCACCATCCCTCAAAGCAGAACACCTCTCACCATCCCTTTCCTTGCCACTTTTCCAGCTCCTCACTGCTGCCTCCACCTGCCCTCTCCACCCTCCAACACACACACTTTTCTGTGCAGCAGAGTAATTCAGCTCCCTCCTGGGCACCCCCCGATGCTCCAGTTCATGACTCTCCTTACCCAAGGTCTTCCCCATTCCTTCCAGTTCCACCCACAAGTCCTTTGATGGGTTTCAGAGCCTCCATCACCCACCCAATCCATGGTGGCGAACACTTCTTAGCAATAAACCCCTTTTCTAACCTACTTCTCTTCCCCAGTGAGCGTGTTCCCTCCAACAGTTTCCACAACCTCCTTAAGACTTGGAAGGTCACTTACTAGGATTCTCATTGTTTTCAGATTTCACAGAAAAGCTACAGGTGGAAACCTGTTGACTCTCATCAACTCCTATTTATTGACACACTCTTACTGTGTCTCCCCTTCCTGCCCCAGAAGAGCTCCCTACACCTTCCTCAATGTCCTCCTGACCACTCACTTATCCTTAAAACTTGAAGAAGGTGGATTTAGATTAGACATGAGGAGGAAATTCTTTAGTGTGAGGGTGGTAAGACACTGGAACAGGGAAGCTGTGGAAGTCCCCCATCAAGGGCAGGTTGGATGGGGCTTGGAACAACCTGGTCTGGTGGGAGGTGTCCCTGCCCATGCAGGGGGCTGGATCTAGATGGTCTTCAAGTTCCCTTCCAACCCAAACCAGTCTGGGATTCTATGATCCCATGTCACATGACGTCTCCCCTGACACTTTGGATCCCACTGTGCACTGAAAATATCCATCACTCTGCAACATCAGCCTTTTGGTCAGGACAGTGACTTGTACAGGCATCACTAATGAGGCTTTCTTACCTTCTTCTTCATTCCATATGAGATTTGATATACAGAACATGGCAGCAAGCTGAAGTTTAGCATTTGAGTGACTCTAAATACAGAAAAATAGTACTCAAGTTTAGAAGAAGAAATTCAGAAATTCTCAGGCTTACATTTTGCCATTCATCCTGTAATAAATAATGTAGCCAAGCTGGGACTAATTCTTATCTACAACTGCTCTCAGAGATAGAGCCTTAGCACAAGGCCCTTGAGAAGAATTCAATCACTTAATTTCTTATTTCTTGAGGTCTACAAGAAATGCCTTTTCCAAGACCATGAAACATTTTCCATGTAGATTTGTTACAGGTATTGCTGTAACATTTCTTTTAATCAGGTCCTCAGCACAGCTCTGCCACATGGAGCTGCACTACTCAGCACCTTCCTTACACACAAGTGGGTACGTGGAAGTTAAGTGAGTGTCCAAGGGCAGGCTGGATGGGGCTTGGAGCAACCTGGGCTGGTGGGAGGTGTCCCTGCCCATGCAGGGGTTGGAAGCAGATGATCTTTAAGGTCCCTTCCCACCCAAACCAGTCTGTGATACTGAATACTTTACATCACAAAATGCTAACGTAACCTCTTTTCATTGCTGCAAAAGACCAACAGAAACCCTTTAACAGAAACCACCCTTACCATGTAGTATTTGATTTTCTGCAGGATGTCATCGTTGGTCATAATCAGCTCCTTTGCTGTCGTTCCATCTGCTATATTGGCAAGTATACACAGTGTCTGAAAGACAAAAATGTCATTTGGTCACAGATCCCATCCCATGATTTAAACTATTTCCCTGACAGCTCTGAACTCATGACAAACAATTTCTTTAATTAGTTTTATTATCTTTAATCTGGAGTTTCCAGCTTGCTTCCATCTGGGGCCAATGCCAAAGAAGGAGCAGCTGTGGATGAACGGCCCTGGCACAAAACCAGCCATTTGGAAATAAAAAGCAACGTTCATTAATTCATTGCAATGAGTAAAATTTTAAGTCTCTCATGGAAATATGCAGCATATAGAAAAGATTAAATACACTGGACAATAAAGCAGTCTATTCTGTATCAGTGTTAGGGAAAAAAAAACATATCCATATAGTTCTTCAGGCCAGGAAAAAGAAAGATGGAGAGAGGCCCCACCTGCTGATCTAGCAGACTAATCATTTGTTCTCACAGGCCTAATCACACATCTTGACTTGAAGAAATAACTCAAACTACTAATGCATCTGATTATTTCTTGCAAATTACAGAAGCTATTCTACAGAATAACCTTGAAACACCCAGGGCCATTCTGGCACTATGTGCACATGGTATTAAGACATGCACAGGCACCTTTCCTGCTTCTCAGGAGGCACCAGGAGGTGTCCACCGGTTCCTTCCCTTAACCACCTTTCCTGGACATATTGGAATGATTACAGAAGAACATGGGAGAATTATCAGCACTTGTCTAAGCTGCACTGCATTCACGTCAGCAGTTGCAGATTCATTACTTCCAAGCTGCTAATTACATCCTGATGAGCCAGACAGGGAGAGATAAGCACTGTGCTGCTACAAGCAGGGGCTGGTGTGTGCAGCCAGGCAGCACTGGATGTCAAGACTGACTCTGAAATAGAAGTGACCTGCTCCTCATACCACAGGGACAAGGAGAATGCTCTGTGTTTAAGGGGACAGAAAAACACCCCAAATCCAACAGGCCACAATCCACCCTGACCTGCTGGTCCTTTCCAAGAGCATGTCTCAGTACACTGATTCTCCTCCAAAATAATATGGAGAGGTAATTAACCCTCTGTGTAATGAAGGCCTTTCTGTCACCAGAGCTTTATCAGGAAGAACTATTTAGACAGAGGCAACTGGCTAATTATCAGCTGTTCCAGAACCATGGCATCATTAGACTTGCCATCTAGGGGGCAATGAAGGGTCTTGAGGATAAGTCTTACGAGGAGTGGCTGAAGGATCTGGGGTCAGTTAGTCTGGAGACAAGGAAGCTGAGGGGAGACCTTCTCACTCTCTGCAACCCCTTGAAGGGAGCTGTAGAGGCAAGTGCCAGTCTCTTCTCACAAGTAACAAGCAATAGGACTCGAGTTGTACCAGGGGAGGTTTAGGCTTGATATTAGGAAAAAATTCTTCTCAGGAAGGGTTGTGAAGCACTTGAACAGGCTGCCCTGGGAAGTGGTGGAGTCACCATCCCTGGCTGTGTTTAGAAGTTATGTAGATGTGGTGCTGAGGGACGTGGTTTAGCAGTGGACTTGGTAGACCTGGGTTAATGGTTGGCCTTTATGATCTTAAAGGTCTTTTCCAACCTAAACAGTTCTATGATACTATTGACACTTTTTGGATTTTTATGTTAATTTTGCACTTAAATAGCCTGTTTGCTTTCAGGCCATCCTTCACTGAGATTTAGACCAGTCTGGATTTAGCTGTACTTTTACACTCCTTTGCCATGCTGCTTGCTACCAACATCCATCCTAAGCCCAAGCAATCCTCTGGGATCTCCCACAGCTTCTCACTGCCCCCATTCATCACCACATGCTCCCTATGAGGAAGAACCAAGATTGTCCAAATGACTGTCTTGTCTGTCACAAGAATTAATTGGCCAAATTCTCCCCATCTAGCCTCTTGCTTTAGCAGGAATCCCTTTATGCTGCCACCAAGCCAGGGTGCTTTTACCTACTGGCCATCTCCTCTTTCCTTCTCCTTTCCTCTCACATATTGTTTTCCTTAAGCTCTAACTTGCCAGGGCATGTCCCTCCCCACTTCCTCCTGGGCTGAACCAGGATGCTCCTTCCCCTCTAGTGCCTCTGCTCTAACTGGTGCTGGCTTCTGCACCAGCAGCTGGGTTCCCACACCTCCCAGCAGAGCTGGCATTGCTGCCAGCAAGGTGGTGGTGGTGGATCCTGCATTACTGACTGTTCTATGGCTGCTAGAGGAGCAAATGACCATGACACCTTCCCCAGAGTGAAACACTGGCTTCTTCCTCTTCCCTTGTTCCTACTGTCCCCTTTCTGCCATACAATTGCCTTTAGCTCCTCTCCCCTCTCTTTACCAAACCTAAATTTAAAAAATACTATAAATTCAATTAATTTGTAAGAAACCATCAGAAAGAAGAGCATTCTTACAGGCATTGAAGTTATTAGTCTGACCGATCTCAGCAAAATATTCACAGCACATCACAATCCCAAACAAAAATCACATGTTGAGTAAGCATTCTTAGCTCTTTCTTTAATTTTATTCTGCCAAGATAATATGAAATTAAAAAAAGGTACCTGCTCTTTGACTTCTATATTGTGCTCCCCTTCCAGAATGAGGGTCACTGCTTGCATGATTTGCTTCCCATGAGTGCTCATTATATGGTCTATGTGCTGCCAAAGCAATGAGGAAACACAGTCAGTGTGACCATCCCGACAAAGAAGAGCCATTCCTACTTGAATTGCTCTAAGAGTATCAACATTGCACAAAGAGCCCAGCTCCTGGCCAGGCCTCTCAGAACCAAGAGCTTCTCACAGCAGAAACACTTCACAATACTCCTCTTCACATGACACCTGCTCTTGTTTGAGAGCACCATGTGGGCCTTGGCTCTGATTTCACTGAAGCCTGTAGGGAAGACACTGGTTTCCCAGCTGCACAGAGGCCAGTCTGAAGACTGAATCTTGCTGAAGCCCTGGGCACGGTGCTGCAGTCGGAACCACTTCTGTTCTGATAACAGGGGGATAAGCAGAGCAGGAAACTGAGGTTTCACATCTGGTATTTCCTGCTCTCGCTGCAGCGCTGGGACCAGGTCTGACAGCGGCTCAGAAGCATGAGAAGGTTCAGGGAAATAAACCCTGTGCACTGCTTATCCTCTAGGAAAACCAGCTCCAGTTAAGAGATTTACAGGTCATTTGATCAGACTGTACTAGAAAAAAAAAATTCAGAAAAGGAAGAAACTAGATCTATTGGATAAACTGATACCAAAACTCAGGAGTGATAGCAAACAGCCACCAAGCATTACCAGCTCATGGGATACTACATGTTTTGAAGACATGGTGGATTCTTGCAGAACTTCTTAAAATTGCTAAAACCAAGATTTGATTCAAAAGCTGCTGGATGAGTTATTCTGGAGTGAGTTTTGGGTAAGAAATGAGAATGGTTGGTTCTGGCTCTAAAACACACTGCACAAAGTAGGTGAAGCTGGGATGCATTTCAGATGAAGAACACCCTAAGTGATAATGAGACTCCTGCTCTCAAGAGCTCAGGGTGAATTTAGTGAATGACTGGTTATTAAAAATCTTTTCACGTTAAGACAGAGCTAATTTTCTATGAAGCTTATTGAGACTCAACAAGTACAAATATCAGAAGACTTTTTGCAGTGACCTTTTTATGGTAGAAAGGCAGCATGTGTTAAGTGCACGGTAGAGGCTTTTTCTCCCCACAAAAATGTTGGCTTGCCAAATGTTTGCTGCATGTTTTCCCTCTGTTCTTCCCAGGGGATTTACCCCTTTCTTTTCCTCCACCAATATCTCTTTCTCCCTGTCAAAAACAATTAACTGGCTTACATTTTTAAAACCATTTTATTTCAGTGTGTAAAATGAACACATGCATTTGTCAGTGCACAGTGCCACAGCCAAATTCAAAAAGCCAGCACTATCTATCTAGTTGGCAAAGAACAGAAATATTCCAGGTGTCAAGAGAGAAGAAACACAGGTATCCTTAAGGGATGTATCTCTCCACACACTGACAGCAGTGCAACCCTCTAAAGGTTGCTTTGGATAAGTTTCACAGAAAAGACTGGTAGGCAAAAGCTAAATGCAACAAAATCAAGCATGAAATGCAAGTGTCTAGCTCTGTATTTGGTAGTAACTGCAAAGTTTCAGTGGATGTAGAGAATTCTTTTAGTGTTTTTCTCAAACCAATTTGTACACTTGGCTACATAAACTGGGTAAATCCAAAGGCCTCAGTTTTTGCAATATAGCAAACATTAACCTTAACAGAAAAATAAGTTCTCTCACAACAAAGATGAAGAACTGGTACTGTCTGTGTTTGAGCAGTTTTCAGAAGGGCTGTTTGCAGGTCTACTTACTGGGCGAGTGGACAGAAGGTTCCTGAGCAGTCCCAAGGTTTTCATCAGAACATTGACATCAGAATCAGAAAGCAACTGGAATAACTGCTCTGTGCTCAGACCTCGTAAGATGTCTGACTTGATCTTCTGTTCTGCTTGAAACGCCATATTCTGAAAGACAGACATTTTTGGCTTGAGTTTTTTACCTAAAACTTGGGCTCTTATACATCCTTGTTAAAATTCATGTGGCAAAGGTTATAATTTACGAGGAACTGCTACAGAGTGGATTAAATTTCCAGAGTCTTACAGCTGACCTGGCTGTCACCTGCTTTTCCCTGCCCCCTGGCACCACTCGGCTGTGTCCCTGAGGGACCTTGGGAACCAAACTGGTATCAGAATCAGAGAGCTCATTTTACTTTATGGACTGATTGATGAAGTGTTCCAGCCTGGTGCTGTTTTCCTTCTGTAGTGATGTGGAAAGGTCAGCCAGATTTCAGCTGCGTCATTTGTGTAACAACTGACAAGGCAAGTTACAGCCAGGAACCCTGTAAGACTGAAATCACAAGGGATGTTTCTTCAGGGTGTTCTACTCACCATTAAAGCCCAAATGCCATTCACTCTCAAGGCAAGATTTTCACTCTGTGTTAAACTACATAGAAGTTCTATGGCTCCTGATTCTAAAATAGGCTAAAATGAAAAGGGGAAAAAAAACAAACAAACATTTAAAACTCTAATCAGACATACATTCAAATGTAATTATAAGGCAAAAAAGTCTTGCATATATCTGACTCTTGAGTCTACATGTCCAGTCCACTCAGATGAACTGGCCAACTTGATGAGCATCAAAAGGTGGGTTTTTATGAAAAATCTCAGGTCAAGACAGTTTTATTCTCAGGGGTATCCATGTATGTGTCTACATACACATGTGCATGTGTACATACAGGCACATACAGCTGTGACACTGTACACACATCTGCCACCCTCACACAAGCAAATAGCTGTTCCCCAACAACTCTCAGCTGAGCACTGCTCTCTAAAAAGAGTCCTTCAGCAATCACATCTTTCTGGGTATCAAGTGAGACATAAAGAACTCTTTAAAAGAGGTTAAGGACCATGAAAGCTGCTCCATTTATTTTCTGGCATTTAATCTTTGTGTTAGTAACCAGGCCAAACTAAAATCCAACAGAAAAACCTTATTATACTAAAAGAAAACTGAAATCTGTCCTTAAAGATCATATTGAAATGCAAAACCCTGCAGTATCACATCTTTACATGACAGAAAAAATATCAACACAAGCACCTTTTCTTTCACACTGATTAAAGAAATAAAAGGTAAGGTGGGCACAACTGCTTCCCACCAAATGTGAGGTACAAGTTTGATCTAATACTTGAAGAGCTCACGTTAAAAGGATTAATCCAATGACTCCTGCTGCACTAGTTTGTAAGGTGTTCCTTTCCTCCAGAAGTTACTGCTTCAAAAGCAGTGAATAACTGAACATATCTGAGCTTTAGGGAAGTTTTGTGGTTTTTAACCTTCTCGAGCTGAAACCATCAGAAAACACGTATGGAAAAGTCTGCACTTGGTAGCAGCAGGATGGTCTCACCAGTGGCTGCACAAACAGAACAGAAGCAGCAGCTAGTGTCAAAGCTCACCTGGCCCCAGGCACTTGTGCACCACAACAACCTGCCAGGATCTCACCCCAGGGCTGAGATGCTGGCTGGCTCAGAGGGACTTCCCATAACTGTAACATTTCAAACCTGGGTTTCACTCAGCTTTTACAGGGTAAAATGCAGATTCACTTCAGCTTTGTTTATTTCACAGAATGGTCACAGTTAGAAGGAACCTCTAGGGATCATCCAGTCCAACCCCCTGCCAGAGCAGGATCCCCTACAGCAGATCCCACAGGAACACATCCAGGTGGGGCTGGAATGTCTGCAGGGATGGAGACTCCACAGCCTCCCTGGGCAGCCTGTCCCAGGGCTCTGTCACCCTCCCAGGCAAGAAGCTTTTCCTCATGTTGAACTTGACCCTCCTGAGCTCCAGTTTGTGCCCCTTGCCCCTTGTCCTGTCCCTGGACACCCCTGAGCAAAGTCTGGCCCATCCTCCTGCCACCCCCTGCAGATATTGATCAGCACTGATCAGATCCCCCCTCAGCCTCCTTTTCTCCAGCTGAGCAGCCCCAGCTCTCCCAGCCTTTCCTCACAGGCAGATGCTCCAGCCCTTTCAGCATCTCAGTGCCCTGTGCTGGACTCTCTCCAGTACCTCCTTGTCCTTCTGGAACTGGACAGCCCAGAACTGCCCTCAGTGCTCCAGGTGAGGCTTCCCCAGGGCAGTGCAGAGGGGGAGGAGAATCACCCTAGCCCTGCTGACAACACTCTTCTTAAGGCCCCCAGGATGGCATTGGCCTCAGGGCTGCCAGGGCACACTGCTGGCTCATGGTCACCCTGTTGTCCACCAGGACTCCCAGGTCTTTTTCCCCAGAGCTGCTTTCCAGCAGGTCACCCCCTAACCTGTACTGGTACATGGGGTTGTTCCTCCCTAGATGGTCTATACACTTGCCCTTGTTGTCCCACTTCCATGAAGCACTGATGCGTGTGCCTGATCTGCATGGAAGGGACATGGCAGCACTGAAGAGCAGATGTCCTGTTCTGTTCATTCAAGAACAATAAAATCCACAAGACTGCCATTATTTTCAAGATTACACCAGTAATTCTCTAAAACAATGGATCACGTTGCCAATTATCAGGTTTTCTTCTTGCTTATGAATTTTTCACAAAGTTTTCCAAGTAAAAAACTCCAAAATTTTATACCTAGTTCTTCAGAGACTATAAAACTATATTTGTCACAGCACTGTAAACAGATCATTTTTTTTATTCACAAGCCATCAGTGATACTTTTTGTCTAACACCACAGCTCTGTGCTTCACAAGCAGTGACTGCCCATTAAGATACATTCATGCTTATTCAACCACTGTACAATGGAACTTTTATCTATTACCTCTTCTTGTTTCTGGATAACTACTCACCTCCTTGCCACCAGGACTCCCAGGTCTTTTTCCCCAGAGCTGCTTTCCAGCAGGTCACCCCCTAACCTGTACTGGTACATGGGGTTGTTCCTCCCTAGATGGTCTATACACTTGCCCTTGTTGTCCCACTTCCATGAAGCACTGATGCGTGTGCCTGATCTGCATGGAAGGGACATGGCAGCACTGAAGAGCAGATGTCCTGTTCTGTTCATTCAAGAACAATAAAATCCACAAGACTGCCATTATTTTCAAGATTACACCAGTAATTCTCTAAAACAATGGATCACGTTGCCAATTATCAGGTTTTCTTCTTGCTTATGAATTTTTCACAAAGTTTTCCAAGTAAAAAACTCCAAAATTTTATACCTAGTTCTTCAGAGACTATAAAACTATATTTGTCACAGCACTGTAAACAGATCATTTTTTTTATTCACAAGCCATCAGTGATACTTTTTGTCTAACACCACAGCTCTGTGCTTCACAAGCAGTGACTGCCCATTAAGATACATTCATGCTTATTCAACCACTGTACAATGGAACTTTTATCTATTACCTCTTCTTGTTTCTGGATAACTACTCACCTCCTTGCTTGGAGAGAATTCCAGAAGAAGATTGCATAGTGTGGAAGATGCTACTATGAGAATTTCATTGGGAGCATTCTGTAAAACCTGCAGGCACAAAGGGGAGAGTGAAGAACCTCTGTCAGCTCATAGAAGGAAGGGATCATTGCAGTGGAACATCTGCAATGATGCTGCACTTTGATATCCCACACTTGAGGAGATGCTTTGGTGCTTGCAGAACAGATCCTGTGCTTGTTCAACATCACCCAACTAGCTGAGCAATGCAAAGGTATTTCACACCCAAGCCACACTGGAGAGCTTTCAGGTCCAACATAAAAGCCATTAGTGGGAACAGACCCCTGCTTAGCAGAGCAGATGTGTGGGCAGTTGTCACTGAGCTCTGCAGCCATCCCCTCAGCAGAGCAGGCTGTGTCCTGCAGGAAACCTCTGCCTCCTTGCTTACAGAACAGTGGAGAAAGCTCCAGGAGGAGCCTCCTCAACACTTCTGTACCTCGTGCAAAGCACAAACCAGCAAATTTCCTTCTGAGCATCCCTACAGAAAAGCAAGCAGCTACACTTTCTGTTCTCTGTGCCTGGATCTCCAGCAGGACCAACCCACACCAGTCTGAGCATTCGCCCTGCCTGTCCTGAGAAAACTCCTGTGAGGAAACAGGCACAGAGGATACAACTGTTCCTCCAACAAGGAAAGGAAGCTCAGAGGGGCTGTTCTGCACCACCTTTTGTTTCAGAGCAGTGGTGACCTATAACTCACACACTCTGATCTCATTTAGTCTTGAAGATAATTGCATTATATTAAAATGTGTCTTTTTAAAGGCCTTGCTGAAGCTCCCTGGCTTCAGTTTTACAATCTACAGTGACGTCTAAAGGGTAACAGAATTACAGGAGAAAACACAGATCTATATTCTCTAGTAGGGCTTACAGACCAAGTCTGAACTGTGCCACCAAGTCTGAGCCTGAAACTAAAGGAGATACAGTCCTCCTAGTGCCTTGTGTAAACATTAGGGATAACTTCTCATCACTCAAAAAAACCCACAAACCACCAGAACACAAAAATGGAAATTAACCAACCAAAAGCCAGGCATGGACCACAGTCCCCTCTGCTGCTGCCTGGCTTTTGTTGATTCCTGACTCTCTTAGGAGAAAGTCATGGAATTTGGGTTTCAAGGTACTTCTATTATGATTCAACAGAAAAGCAAACTGAACAGCCACCCCCCCC